CGGCATTCCGGACCCGCGCTCGGACCCCTCAGCGGCGGCCCGCGCGCCGGGCGCGGGGGGGGCTGAAGAGAGGTTTTTCTGCTGGCAAAGCCCGCGCGCCGAGCTCTGGGGATGGCGGCCGCTCAAACCCCCCTGGAGAGGGAGATTTTCGGTCCGTGGATTGCTCTCGCTCGCCGCTAAAGTCCTCTGAGGGTCCGGGCAGAGCCGAAAGAGCACCATTCAGCTCATCCATGGTTTCATCTCTCGGTCTCTCATTTTGTACAACGGAGGAACTTTCGGCATCAAAGTCTTCCATCCCGGCCTCACTGTTCTCAGACTGGCTCCGTTCCAGTGCCTTAAAAAGCGCTCCCCAGGTGGCTGCCAGGCCACACACGCTGGTATCTCCGTTAATGAATTCCGACCATAAATAGTCTTCTATCGACAGCCTATTAATCTCGAGATCAAAGGCATTGTCCACAGTTACAACAAAACCTTGCTCTTTCACCCACTGAAATAAAGCGTGCATGGCATCTTCAGAAACACTGAGTCCCATGCGGGGCAGGGCATCCTGCCATGCAAGGTAGGCAAGCTGTTCATCAGCTGAAGTACAGTTCCCCATTATGAGGACTTTATCTTGGCGGCTCCGCGAATGCAATTATGCACATGCTGTCAGCTCAGACCCGGGATTTTAAGCTCTGCTTCGCCAAGATAGGCCTTTCCAAACCCACTCACAGGCAGGTTCTACTATCCCGTTGGTTTCCAGAACCAGCTTCCTCTAGGAAAGCCCGGGAGAATTCCACTTACCCCTCTAGGGGGAAGGGCTGGCTTTTTCCCGCTTGCTGCTTACCCTCAGGGGATTAGCAGAAGTCACGTTGGTTACCAGACCTCAGAGGGTCGGCTGCACCACGTCGGCGGTCACCAGATGTCGTTCACCAGACCTCGGGGGTCGGTTCAACATCACGTCGGCGGTCACCAGATGTCATTCCGATTGGGAACGGCTATAAAGAACGACATGAACTCTCAAGGGAGTTTCAACACGAGAATTCTCTAGTTTATTGCTTCAGGCCTGTCTTATAGACAGATACGTGGAAAGTACAGAAAGGAAACTCTTATTGGTTAACAAAGTGCTACATTACCATCATTGGTCAGGGGCTCACTACCCCCCTGACTCTCTCCTGCAAGAGAAAACAAGAGGACTGCAAAACAACACCTGCAAGGCTGTTTAGTGTCCCTGAGAATTGTTTTAATTCCTTCTCATATTTTTCCCAGGCTACTTTCTCAGGCAGCCTGAGGAGCTATGCGGCCTGTAATTTGTACAGGCACTGTGGTTCAGATTTAGCATCCATAGTGTGATACGTACATGTCTTTATCACCCTGCCCCAAGCTTCCCACAAAATATGAAACTTTGGTCAATATTGATACCAGTGTCCACAAACAATTCCTCACTGCCAAAACAGACTATCATATATAACAGTAAAGCAAAATTTTCAGTGAAAATATGTTCCTTTATGAAAATCTACTTGCTTTTCTGTTTAAATGAAATATTGTGCACACCAGAGAAAAAGGGTGTTAGTACTTGAAAGGAAAGTATATGGCACTCTAGGACTACTAAAATTCAGCTCTAATGTAACTAGCACTCTAAAATTTTCATAATGATTTTTCCTGTTTTAGTTAAACATTTATATTGTAGCATACTTATTTAAAAGAAACCTGTATTAATGTTCATAAGATGTATTTTACTGAAGACAACTTCAATTTGGGCCATTCTGTTAAAGTCTTGTCTTTGTGAAATTTTAAAAAATATGCACATGGCACTTAGAAATAATATTTGTGAGGAAATCCGCAGTGTAAGATTACAGGTTAAATAAAATTTCACACCATGAGCAGGGTTCACAAGAGCATTAAAAAAATAATCTATTTTTTCAAGTTCCAGTGATTCAGAAGAGCAAGTAACATGATGTTGGATAGCAGATACATTATTTTATCGAAACAGAATATAGACCCAAAGTTGAGGGATTCATAAAACAAAAGCCTCTTAAAAAGATACCATCAAGGCATTTCATTAGAACTCTTCAGAGCGACAAGTTTAAATTGGTAAGATTAATTATAAGCTTAAAATATTACCTGATTTCTCTGATGAAATATACTCCTACTCTCTAAAAAGCTCATATATATATAAAAAGCTAGATATATATAAACACACAGTTTTAAAAACATGTGAGCAAAGACAATCAAAACAGGGGTGTAGAAAATTGAGATATAAAAAAAAAGGTTAAAGATGCTGAAAACCATAAAACCCCCATATTGTGAAGGGTGGGGGGGGGAAGAGGACTCTTTAAAAGGAAGGACTAGTACACAGAGTAAAAAATAACTTTGAAGATTTTTGAAGATTTTCTTAAGAGCTTCCACACATGCTCATAGTCATTGTTAGCTTTCTGGTATGATGCATTTTTAACAATATTTTTAGCAGGCAATTAGGAAGTCAAATTACTTGCTTTTGATGCCAAACTTCATACTATTGACAACATTCTTTACCATGGTATTACACATATGAACAGTGATAATTTCCATGGAGAGTGGCTCCAAGTTCCCCTGCAACTGAAATGCAAATTGCAAAGTTCAGTTTGATTTTCACTGCACACCTCTGGCAGATTTTGGTATAGTCAGTGATGACAGGAAGAACCTGGCAACTTCTAATCTAGAGCCCCATATGTTTATTTCTTTGTTAGAGGATTTCATAGTATATTTCTGGTCACCATACAACTATATTTAACTTTTCTAGCATGCTTCATATAATAACTTTTGGAAAGTTTTACTCGGCATACTGAAGTGGGTGACCATTTGAAGAATCTAGAAGCTACTGTGTTCCCAACTTACTTTTTGGGTTCTGAAATACTTAAAAGTCTCTTATATTAATAGTAGGAGGCTTCTTAAATCCAAGATTATATTGAACAATTTATATTATATTCATAATTATGACATTCCTATAACATAGGAACATATGAACATATAGGAACATGTTCCTATAACATAGGAACAAAGTGACACAGACCCCCTTACGCATGTGAAGGAGATCACTTTATTGTACAACTCTCACCCTTTTCATACCTTTAATCTCTACCTGACATAACAGAAACCAAACTGAGACCTAACAGAACTTAACAGAAAGAGGGCACCCATTGGCTGCCTCAAGCTGCACTGCTGCTGTCCACACATTCTACCATCCAATCAGCTTCCCGCTCATACACTGTCCGTGAGTTCTGCAATCCAATCAGCTATCTGCTCTACGCTGTTCACATGTTCCTCCAGCCAATCAAAATCTCACTCTTAACTGTCGCTCAACTGAGTTCCTCCTCACTCTTAACTGACTCCCCTCTCAACTGACTTTCCGTCATGCAGTCGTGCCTTTCCCGCAGGGCCTTAACACAAAAAATGCACTCAGCCACAGGCATCAGGATGTAAAGACAATCTTTAAAAATAACTTTGAAAATAATTCCTCTCAAAATATATAATTCTCACCTTGCCTTCAAGGAAATACTTTCTACAAGATTTCAGAAGACCATAAACCTTTTGAATGGATTAGAGTTTACATTACTACTTCCCTGAAAATATTTTGCTTTCATCTTTTCATTGTCATATTAAAACTGAGAATTCCTGCTTTTCCCAAAGTTGCTAACACTGTTTGAAAAGAAGCAGGTCTGCAAGAGCCTCACAACAATCAACTCCCATGTATCACCATGAATGCCTTCAGTTGACATCAAAACCAATTGGGCACTGAAGGTTGTAGAAATGGAAGAACCAGATTTTATTTCAGTAAGATTATTAGACAAGGCATTGCATGTCATGGCACATTAAGGCACAATTTAGAATTAATTTTCAGAAGCTTTAGAGAACTGCTAAGAGCACCTAATGGTAAGAAGATTTTGCATCACTCTTCCTTTTTGCAGAGGATAGCTAAGAACAAGGAAAAACGTATTTAAGCTAGTTGTAGATAACATTAATCTTCTTTTGTCATCACCTTTACATTGTTAGCTTATCATATCAAGCTGAAAGCAGGCTTTCATTTTTTAAAACAGGTTCAATTTTACTCAAATTTGTTGAAATACCATGATCTTAGGAGACAAAAAAAAAAATAGAGGTTTCCAATATACTTCCAACTCCAAAATTTATTCACTGGCAGAACACAACATTTCTCAATGATAACTTCTGATCAAATGGAAAACTTACACCTTCATTAAAAGGATCTTGTTTCAATGATCGTTTGCTTCTGCCAGATGAGCCCACCACAACAATCTTTCCCATCTTCCTCTTCCACACCACTTTTCTCCAACAGCACAGGTGAAGCTTTTAGGCTGTTTCAACTTTCCTACTGACACTATTCTGTTTTGGTAAACAGTTTGAATACTGGAGCAATGCCAGGACCTGGATGTTGTCCCTCACTTCAACTTGGAAGAATAACAGGACATGCCTCTGCCATCCCTAGCGTATGATGAAGCCTCTGACTCCATGTAAGAAATTGAACCTACGTAGAATCTTGAAGCTTTTACAGAGTGTGACAGAAGGGGGTCTGAGTGGAGGATAAATGAGGAGGAAAGTCCTGCCTGAACAAAAGCTTAACACACAGTTATGCCACACAAGGTCTGATTAGTCTCACTGAACTGCAGCCTTGCATATCAGCCGTGAGTAAATTCAGCATGTCCTGTAACTCCTGGTGCTAAAGGCATGCACAGCATGACTTGTGACAAGGTGTTAACCACACCGTACTTTTGAACTGAGAACCTGTCTGCCCTTACTGCTACATCTTGGGGACAGTTTTTCCCTTATTGTGCTGTCTTGGCTGGTGAGCAGCAGTGACGTTCAGCTGGCATTTAACAGAGATAAAAGTACCATGAATAAAGTGTCAGCAGGAGAGAGTTCCTCTATGACACTTCCAGCTTGGTGGTAAGATGCTAGTCATAAGCAAAGCAAGACAGGATAGTCTTAGTTGCTTTGAATAAGAACAGGCTCCGTAAAACCTTGGAAAATACACTTTTCTGTCATTCCTGGTAGTCTCTTTGGCAAGTTGCAGAGAAAACTGGATGTGCAGTTTTCAGATCCAGTTTGGAGCCTCTTTTTCTTTACAAAGTCATCATCTGAAGAAATAAAATTACAACATTTTATAATATAAAATTGTGACTTGCAGACCTTTTGCCACTGTTTTACACCTGAAAGGCTCTTTGCATGTTCATTGCTCACAACATCGATACAGTACTCTGTCTACAAGAAGTGATTTCTAAATAGATCAGCTGGAAACAAATCCTGCCCCTGCTGTTCAAATTGAAAACACCATTCTTGCAGACAAAATGTTCATATGAAAGTTCATTTATTAACAATTACCTAGCACAAGAATGGCCAATACCTGAAAGACGCATGGAACTTTTTTGTTTCTCTTTCTGTATCCTCTTATTAAGTATCTGTTCAGACAGAGGAGTTAAAACTCAAGGAAGTTTCTTTCTTCTTTGCCCACTTCTGCAGCTGAATTGACTAAAAACTTTTGGTTTGATACAGTGCTTTTTAACAGACAATGTAAGCTTTCTTTCATTTCTGAAAAGAAATACAACCATCTCAGCAGCATTCTTGAATAAAAATTTAATTTAAAAAAAATTTAAAAAGCTTTAGTGACTCATCTGTAATCTAAACCATATTTTGTTTCTGTTACAACTGTAAATTTCCATGTAAAATTTATCAGAAATGTAATACTTACAATATGCCATTTATTTTCTCACCATTTAATAGATAAATGAAAATACTGACATTGTCACTTTTCTAGTCTTGGTCCTATTTTTAAGCCATATTATGCAAGTGAAAGACTCAAGAATATTGTATTCTTCCACACAAGCACTGAGGTAGACATCTCTTGCTGACATATTGGTTACTTTGGCTAGTTCATCTGTTCTCCTTGCACAGCCATTTGAACAACCTTGTTTGTTCATGAGCACCCAACAGAATAATGCTCACAGGAAATAGTGATTTCACTGCTTTGGCACTTACAACAAAATGATTAAATATCTTTATGTACTTAACTCCTGTATACAGTAAACTCTCAAAGATGGCTTGTTTTGTAAAATAAGAATTGAAATTGGTTTTAAGAAGCACTTATTTTCTGCAAGTTTTCTAAGCTCAAATACATTTTTTTTCCCCTGGGTAAAACAGCATATTTTTCTTTCTCCAATATATTTAGAGTTTGATTCAAGGTTTCCAGATGTCTAACGAAGTATATTTACTGGCATCATAAGACTGTAAAATTTACTATATTATATAGTGTAATTTAAATGAGAATCTCTGAGGTATTATTTGTAACCATTTAAAATACTTTAAAAATTTTATAAGACATGTATCTATTTATCTGTTTCTGAGATACTTCATTTCAAGTTTAAAGAACAGGAATGTCAGAAAGACTTTGCTTAACACAAATTCAAGTAAAAAATGGATGCAATAGTTCTGTAATTTTCTTCTTCCACAGAATTATCTTCATCACCATCATGCTTGTAGTAATCAATTTACAAAATCAAATATTATTAATGCAGTTATTCAATAATATATTTTACTGACCACCTAGATCCACTTATCTAGTGGATAATATATTTTACTGACCTCACTAGATCAACTCTTGGAAGCCACTGCAACGAAGTCTTCAGAAAGAGCGTTTCTATCAATTTTATATTATGGAAGCAACAGATGTTTCTTTCTATGTTGACAGGAAAAATTAGCTTCATAAAGCCATGATGATGTTGTTTAAGATACCAAGAGGGTATTTAGATTAAAACTGGAAACATAGTTTTCAGTTTGTATTGTCAAGAAATATCTATAAATTTAAGCTTCAAGAAAGCAATATGCTGAGCTATAAGTTATGCGGACCTAAGAATGACTAAGATTTATGGACTTCTTAGTGTCAGGAAAGGGAAAACTGAATTTTTTCCAGCATTCATCTCTGATGAAAAAGATTATCTACTTCCACACTCTTTTCAAGCTCGTGCTAAATTGAAGCAAGCAGAAAATTATTCCTGTTGCAGTTGTCTGGAGAATTAACATTAACTTCATCCTAGTAAGGATAGTAAATTATCAGCTACAAATGAGTTTTTAATTTGGTCCAAATATAATACAAATACATGAGCATAATCAAAGCAGATTTCAAATTCCTGGATAACTCTGGAATCATCTCAGAGCTTCTCATGCCTATTAAGAGCATAGTAAATAAATCACCTTGGCACTCCTGTGCCACTTTCAGATTGCTTTATTGAATTCTTAATTTCATCCTGTTTTTCAAAACAGACTATAACAGGGCAATCATTTTAGGTACAACCTGAAATACCACTATTACAAACAGTGTTCGAAAAAACTCTTTTAACTGTAACCAATTATAAAAATGGGGATTCTACAGTACTTATCACCCTGAACCAAGCCTCCAGTTTGCTGCATCTTCCTACATATTTTATAACTCTTAAGAGCATCTCAGAGAGGAAGATACTGTTTTGTCACCATTTTACATACAGACAATAACCCTCCATGAAAGGAAAAATAAATGATAGCTTTTTTATTAAATTAACTGGTATTGAATTCCAAAATATTTAAATCCCACTTCCATGACAGAACCCCTCAGTCGTTTCAGCAGATTAATTATTTCTACAAAAGACAGAAGAAAACCTTTATTACTGTATAAAAAGAAAGTGGTGATGTCAGAGCAATGTGGAAAAGTGATGTTTGCAGCTATTACAGTTACACAACCCACAAGACCGCATTTATAGAATGATCAATTACTTAATTTATTAATTGTTGGGTAAGGTGTACATGCAGAAGCAATCCCCTACATACTAAGCACCTAGGGTAAGTTTCAAGACATACAGAAACTCAGTGTTAAATAGAACCTATTGAAAAATCCTTGCAAATAAGGCTATTGAGAAACTTTTGTTTAATACATAGACCCATCTTGCAAATGAACTAGCTTTACTCATTCTTGAGTTCAGTGCTGCACTATAGTTGCTCCCTTTCTGTGCAGATATAGGAATTTCTTAGCAATGAAGTGCTATATAAATTGCTAGAAGGGCTGGGTTTTTGCAGAGAAGCAGAAGCCTGACTCTACAGCTGCTTAACAGAAACCCAGTGCCCTGAAGTCCACTATTACACCACCACTACCATTTCTACAACTCCAGTGTCTTCCATCATTGCAATGGTCCACAGCTGGTTTCACATAGCTCAGCTACACTGAATACAAATCCAAGACATGTGGGTTCTGCTCCAAGCTAGAAGTGATCTCTTTCCCCACCCATTCCTACAATTTGTCATTTCTCACCATCCTACAGAGAACCTCCCACCTGCTCCTGGAGAAACCTTGAGGCCCTTTAAAGGATATGGATCATTTGCATTAATATTTACCCAAGTTTATAGTGCACAAGAATCTAAAACATAGTTATTTGATTAATAAATTGCACTCATAATAACAACTGAGAGCCTTCTGTAGTATTCTATTTCTAAATTCAGCATTTCAGAAGGCTACTTGGAGCTCTGTTTCCTTAGATAATCCTCATCAATCAAGGTAATTTGCTTTGAACTTGCTTCTCTTATTCTTAGGTATAGAGATTACCTCATACTATACTTAGTGTTGATTGTATTGAGGAAGTGCTGATTTTCCTGTACTAAAGTTTTTTTCTTTTTTCTTCTCTTGAAATATCACTTTTCATTCATACTGTTAACTTTATTATGGATTTCCTCATTAAAAAAATAAATAATTTTTCTTTTAATCCTTTTATGTAAGAAATGATCAAGCTTATTATCATGTTTAGGAGGTTTAAGGAAACATAGAAGGAAAACAAATATTTTCTCTGCTGCAGCTTGCTTTCCACTGGGAAAGCCTTCTACTATTAAAAAACATGCTGCTGTCAGAAACTGACAGTCAGGTACAATCCTATGCCACTGATAAATCAGAGAGTAGGAATCAAACCAGAAAGCAGCCTCAACATCCTAGATTTTAGGGGCTGAGAAATAGACTCAGCTTTCTCAGTGTCACAGCAGCAAGTAGAGGATACCAGTTTTCCTCCATGCCAGCCCAAGATCCTTTACCCCAGCCTTGCCAGGCTTTCCACAGTCCTGGAGTCTCCTGCACACAGTTCCCAGGGCTGAAGCTGTATTGTGTAGTGCATCTTAAAATTAGTTCACTTTTTCACAATAGGGTAATAATAACTATTTGGAGCCTAAATTCAAGCAGAAGATCCTCCAAGACTGTTTCTGCTGTGGATCTGTGGCTTTGCATTTCCTAAAACTGTTTTGTGTGCATGTTGCATTCATTGTCTCAAGTACTGAAGTGCAAAATCCCTGCAGACTGACTTAGAAAGCAACAAAATAAAAAATACACTTCTACAGCATTAAAAAAACCAAGCAGACATCAAACGTGAATTTACAAATAATCTTCTAGTTATTTAAATATAAGATATATTACGGAAGCATGGCTCCTGAGTATGAATAAGGCATTCGTGAATAACGTCCTGGACGTAACAGAGGAGGAGGCAGATGTTTTGA